CCAAGGTACAGGATAGTTCTAGAAAGCAGAGGGCGTGACACTAGTCATGTGACCTCGCTGACGCAACAATAGTATAACGTGAGTGACTGGCTACCATTCTACGTATTATTTTGTAACATGAAGGAACTATTCATTAGAAAAAAAACTATTTTTGGTATATTTATGTTATATAAATATATTACTATTAAATATATATATTTTTATTTTCAAAGAACGATGGTGCAGCAGTTTGTAGAGAAACTCATCGTGAAACGTAAGTATTAAGTTAGAGAATTTATATTGTAAAATGCATGTGTTGACCAACCCAGTATCGTTTTTTCTTCTTTTTATTTAGTATGAAAGCATTTACAGAAGCTCCATTTTTTCCCGAAATTTAGATTTTGTGAGAATGCAATTTTTACTATTATTATTTTGGAATACTCCTAATATCTCATTCGAAAAGGTTTTTTCGACTGTATATGAGGCCTAATAAAGTAGCGTTTGTAAACAAGCGCCAACTAAATGATTTTTAACCGCAGGAGTGTTATAATGTGACGATTAATCCTACTTTTCTTGGTAAAAGAGTAGACCAAGAGTTGGTGGTGGGTGGTGTTGACTAGCGGCCTTCCCTTTAGTATATCACTTCTAAATTAGGAATGCTAGCGCAGATACTTAGCCCTCGAGTAGCTTTGTGAGAAATTCAACAAAAACAAAAAAACAAACGTGAAAAACTGCCATCTATCCTGACAGACAGATAGCACTGAATCGAATTTCTTAAATTCATAATTAAAACAATAAATTTTCAGTATTTAACAAAACAGATAATGAAAGGAATGTTGTTGTTTTTATATACATAAGATGTAATATACAGTTTGATAATACTAAATAACTTTTTTATTTGAAAATGCACTATTAAGAAAAGTACTTCATGAAATAAATTGAGGAAATAATATGTAGTTGTTTCTGGGACAACCCGTATACCTTTAAACCTACGCAAATCAAGGCTTTAAATGGGACAAAACAATGTATTGACATAAACTTTGTAAAGTGAACGACTTTTGCCATAAACCTCCAAATATGATAGGCTTGAGGTATTGAGGTTAATAGGATTCATGCTCTAAAACGTAGGCCCACACGTTAACAATATATATATATAGTTTCTATAAATTGTTGATACTTCTTTGCTGATTCCATTTTTATATAAATCATTTTTATTCACTAAAGCAAGTAGCATCTCGTATTTGACTATGGAAATTATTTATATTGACATATTCATATATAGACACACACACTACAATTATCTTGGGTTGTTGAGTCTGTCGTACATTTTGCAATGTTTATTATTGTGGAATCTAGACTCAACGTATATGTTGCACATGCATTATAATCAGTGTGAGCTGTTTACGCCTAAATTGTTATTCACATCCTGTAGTACATACAATTACTGTGGTATTAAACACATATTCATATCACTTTCTGTGTACTTTTTCTCATTCAGCTCTTCAAAGTTTGAACTTGATAAAGAAAATGGACTATCACTGTCGGAGAAGGGCTATCGGAAAATAACAAGGTCGAAGTCAATGCCAGGCACCGACTCTTTTGAGGAAGTCAGGAAGTTTTTAATACGTTTTTTTTTGTCTTGTATAGAATATGAATAAAAATCATGTAATAAACTTTAGCAACATTGCTACCTTCTCAATAGATTTTATTAATAAAAATAGTTTTTTTTTCAAGTATGTATGAATATTTAGATACAGCATGTACTACTTTCTGTAACTTTACCTTAATTATACGGTGTTAAAAATTCTTTAAATTATATATATTTTATTCTATATTATTGCGTGGAAGTCATGTAGAGCATTCATAATCTTTTACCTGTTTTGTTATATAAAAAGCCTAAAAAGTAGTTACATTTAATCATCACGTGAAATTTTGTGTAAAATATCTGTTACAGTTGTATACTTTACTAGATTAAAAAAAAAGATCTACACTATTGTATGTACATTTGTATTCTCGCACATTTTCTTATATAGAGCTGCGCATCTTAAGTTAGATCAGAAGGTTTAATAAGATAGGAAAATTCTAAAGTGTTCTAGCATATTAAAGCTACATTATAAACACGAGGTAGTTGTGAAGTGTAAGAGTAATTTCAAGATAGAGAGTGAACCAGTCAGTATGTAGCTATTGCGTTTACTTTATATTTGTTGATTTGTTTTACGTTAGTTAACATCGTTTATATCATAGGCCTATAGAAATTTATGGCAGTGTACAAGTGTTCAAGTTTTTAGAAACGTTGAACGAGTAACTAAATTAACTTATTATTGTTACATGGACTAAACGTTGAATTATTTTCATCACTTAATTTAAAATAAGTATACTACACTTGGGTCAGAAGAGATATTATTTTGGTTTATTGATGGAAAGTCTTGCTGTATGTTGATAAGCACTGATTCTACAACAACAATAATTCAATCCAATTTGGTAATGAAAAGTTTGAATTTGACTACAGTAGTAATTGAAAGAAAATCAACTTTGCAAAGCACACAGCAGGTGGACATAAAGTTCCAGCAAGAGGAAAATTGAAAGTTACCCTTATTATGGGAAGCTTCTCTATACCTCATGATGTATGGGTAACTGATATCGACAAAGAATGCATATCAAGAACTTCCTTCATGTGGAGACATAAATGTGGGGTTAGGCTAGCTTCAACTTCATAGTCAATGACCAGGAAAACCCTGTGCATTACATAATATTAACTACACCAAATGTTGAACTGCCACCCCTAGACTAGAGGGAAGGCAACTCGTGGACTACTGTTTATCAACAAAGAGTGGGATTCACCATCACACTATAACATCCCCAAAGATAAAAGGGTGAGTATGTTTGATCAGGGAATTTGATCTCACTATTTGCAGAATTTGGTTAGAGTGCTCTAATCATTGACTATTCCAGGTTAAAGAATAAAGATGTCATCATTAGGGCCAAATTCACAATGAATAATAAAATTTGAGTTAAGTCTAAATGTGACATTGCAATATGTGAGGTTATATAAGCAGCACTTCTACATCAAAGAATATCAGAAATAGTCACCTTAAGATGCAGAAAGTCTAATGTCAAATCCTCATATAATGACAGCTTACCATCTCACAAAAGCTGTATGACTGGAGCTATGGAGATCTTACAGCTAATCAATGTTATAGATTACATGAATTACCATCAGTATATTAGGATACCTTATCAAGTGAATCTCATGACTTTGACAAAAGAATAAATAACCTTTAAGATTGTTACTGTAGATGGAGCTCCAATATGTCACTTAGCCAGATGACTCAAACTTTCAAAACAGTCTAAGGTTTTTAAAAAGACAGAAGCCATGAAGGAACAATTAAGGGGTACTAGAATCGAGTAATTGTCCATGGGATCATTTATTGTACTTGTGAAGAAAAATTATGGATTCACAAGGTTCTGTATGGATTGCTAAAAGGTGAATGAAGTCACAAAGAAGGATACACTGACAAGGATTGTCTCTTCTCTACTTGTTATACTTTATTTGAAACTAAAATGGTTTTCAACATTGGATCT